CCTGCTGAGCCCCTATAGGCATGTGAGTTACAACTCATCACGGAATACATCCGGGAGTAGCTGAGGAGTCTTGCAGAGAAAACAAGGAAGTACTGAAAATAGGGATGATCAACCTTTCCAAAAAAAATTTTTTTTAAAGAGTCCAAATAATATATCATGGGAAAAGCAGAGAGTTAGGATTCAAATACCTGAGTTAGGCATTCAGATTTGATCCTTAATAATTGTGTGATTTGGGGCAAGTTGTTGTAGAAGAATACATGCATGGGGATATGTCTGGAATATTCAATTCAAAGAAAAAAAAACCTGGTTATTTAACCATTGTAAAGTATGATCAAATTATATCTATGTGATAGAAAGAAAGACTAGGAGGTATGCAATAAATGTTCAAAGAGGCTATTTAGAGGTAGCATTACAGTTTTGTTGTATTTTTCAAATTTCGCACAATGAATACAATGCTGCCTTTTGTAAAAAATAATTTCAAATAACCCATCAAAACTGAGTTTTTAAGACCTTACCTGTTAATGTGGAGCAGCCCAGCTCCAAAGTGGGGCACAGCCAAAAGCAGATGATTCTCTAGGAAAATCTGGAGCCTCTGCAGCCCCTGAAACCCCACACTCCTCTTCCACCTGCAGATTAGAGCTCAGTGACAATGTGTCGTTGCTGTCATCCATTTCCCCCAAATCCCATGCCCATCACCACCTACCAGGTCAAGGCCTTGCGCAACAGACAATACTTAAAGAATGGAATGGACTGGAGCTGTTGCCAGAGGACAGAGTGGCGGTGCCAGGTTCCCAGTGTCATCGTCTCACTGCCCTCCACAGGGTGTACGTGCAGGATCCCAAAGGGAGAGAAGATGTAGTGCTCGGGATTCACCTTGTCAGGTGGCACCACCACCAGGCTGTAGGGCCTTTAGAAAAAAGCTCTCATCAGTGAGAGCCGGGAACTTGTACAGACTTTGAAAAGGGAGAAGAGGATAGGGAGATAAAAAAGGGAGGAGGACAGGAAGGCACAGACAACAGCAAGATGGGAAAGAAAGCAGAATGATTTTCAAACTAGAAAGATGGAACACATATTATTTAAAAAGTGATACCAAAGACAGATGAAAGAGAAATTGCACCTAACGAGTTCCAAGAAGTTCATACCTGCAGGCCAGAGATCTTACCTCCCATCAAATCTAAGATATCATCAATTATGAGCTGCAGCATTATTTTATGAAACACTAAGGTAAAAAATGCTTCTAACATGGTATTCCATCAACCTGTAAGATACATCACAGCTTCAGAGGTGAAAAAAATGAAAAAAATGCTAATCTTAGGAATAATAAAATATGTGTATACCTCGGTACTGAAAGAACATGCAGGGATAATCAGAAAATGCTGTTTGGAGAAACTGAGACTAGAGAAGATGAGGAAAAGACAAGAAGATTAGAAATAGGCAAGTGAAGAGGATAATTACAACCTAATGAACCAGATGAGTAACTCTAGAGCCTAAAATCTGAATAGGTCTCAGGTTCTCTGACTTCAGGAAAAGGTACCTACCTCACATGTTAATAAATGATTTAATGCGAGACCAGCAGTTGGCATAATGGCTATGCCACTGAACTCTCATGTAGTTGACTGCAGTTCAAGTCCCGGATCCAGTGGCTTACATGTGCGTGCTTGTTCAATATCCTGAGAGGAGAATGGCAGAGAAGGGATTGCGACATGGCCATCATCCTTGGGGGTGTGATTTCTCACTTTCTGTCTCTCTGTCTTTCTTTTTCTAGTGAGTGCATGCACCCTATAGCAAAAACCTCTAAAAAAATTAATTAATTAAAAAATAATAAAAAAAACCTTAATGCAATTTAAATTGAACTATATAATAGTTGTATCTAGTTGCAGGAGATCAGCTAGTAGAATGCCATGTTTAGGCACACTTAACAAACTATTTATTTTATTTTATTTTGTGGTTTCCTCTTCATAACTCAGAGCCAATACTATTTTCAAGCATTAAATATGTTTTGGTGCAGCCAAGGCAGCACATGCTTGTCACTACTCTTGACAGACTGAGTCCACGTGGGAGGCCTGATTCCCTGAAAAGCCAGGCACAGTGACATGAGTCTATAGCCCCAGCTACTCCTCCAGAGGCTGAGGCAGGAAAATCAAGACATAGTGAGATCCTTTCTAAAACAAATGAACAAAATAACAAACAAAAACACCACACACACACACACATGCACACAAAAGAGAAGCAAAATTTTTTTTCAAAAACACTTTGCTATAGGGCACATGCGCTCACCAGAAAGACACAGAGAGAGACAGAGAGACAGAAGGCGAGAAATCACCCTCCAGGGGGGATGGCCATGCCGCAATCCCTTCTCCTCTATTCTCCTCTCAGAATCTTGGGCATGCATGCATATGTGCCCCGCATGAGTTTAAGCCACCGGGTCCGGGACTCAAACCGTGGTCGACTACATAAGAGTGCAGTGACATAGCCATTACGCTAACTGCTGGTCCCGAGAAACAAATATTTTTAAGTATTTGGAAGCTTTAGCCTAAGTTCTCTGACTACCCATGCTAAAAAAATAAAATGACACCCGTCAATCTCTTACCTCTCAACTTTCTACTATACAATATATTAAACAAGTGGAGCACTTAGTGTGGATTTACTAAGTCAAGTTTTATAAAAACCATTTCTGGGGGCCAGCAGGTGGTGTGGTGGTTAAGCTACTGGACTCCCATATGGTTGACCATGGTACAAGTCCCAGACCTGGCAGCTTGAAAATCACACCAGGTGTATGTGTGTATGCATGCCCAGAATCCTAAGAAGAGACTGGAGGGCAAGGTATTACAACATGGCCATCCCCCTCAGCAGTGATTTCTCACTTTCCCTCTCTCTTTCTCTCTCTGGCTAGTGTATGTACCATATGGCAAAAACCTAAACAAACAAACAAACAAACAAACAAAAACTTCTTATTTCCTGGGTCAGCCCTGTAGCACAGCAGTTAAGCACTGTACAGAGGAAGCAAGATCCCACATGGTTGAGTGAGATTCAAGTTACAGACCTGTTGGTTTGAAAAATTTGCTAGGTATATGTAGGATCCAGACAGGAAGAATTGGAGGAAAAAGGATTGCGGCATGACAAAACCCTGTTAAGGGAAGCCTTCTTTCTCTCTTTCTCTCTTTATCTCTCTCTCTCTCTCTGTCTCTGTAGTGGATATGCATTGCTTTCTCCCATAAGAAAAATTTAAAACCCGAGAAATTGTATTTCTCTCTCAATAAAGTTACTAGACTGTCTCCTGTACTACTAACCTCAAATTGCAGATGAGAAAACTAAAACAAAGTGTAAAATGTACCCAAGGCATAGTAGTCCTGGTTGAAATTGTTTTTCTTTCAGTATTTTTGAATGTCTTCCCATTCTTTTCTTGCCTGCATTGTTTCAGTTAAGAAGTCTAGTGTTAGTTTGATAAGATAGTCTTTGTAAGTGACTTGAAAGGAAAATTCATTTTGTAAGCTGTAATGATATACAGTGATTTAATGTATAATTATTATTATTATTTTACTCAAGGCAGTTAAGAGAAGAATACATGATTTATTTCATTGTATTTTCTAAATTTGCTAGAAGGTACGTGAGCTTACTAGAGAGAGACAAAGAGAGAGAAAGTAAGAAAGCACCCTTATGGGGTGTGTGTGTGTGATCATTCCATTAAACCCTTCTCCATTTCTCCTTTTGGATTTTGAGCACATATGCAAAAATGTGAGTTCCTGGTGTGTTTTTCAAGCCACTGAGTGTGTTTTTCAAGTCTCTGAGTACATGACTCAAGCCACATAGTTGGCCATGTGGGATCCAGTCACCTTAACCACTATGCCATCAGCTTGACCAGAATGCTGATTTAAAACCAAATCTACCAGACTCAAGCCCTTTTCCTTAATCAGTGGGTTAGTAAGTTTCCCATAAGGTAGCTGCATATCTTTTATTTTTTTAATTGCCAGAGAGTGGATGTGCTTACCAGAGAGAGACACATAAGAGAGAGACAGGGACAGAGACAAAGAGACAAGGAAAAGGTACCTCCTGATCTAGACTAGTCATTCTGCAATACCTTCTCCATTTCCCCATCCTGTGGAATTTTGGACACTCACACACATGCACCCAGCATGCACCTCTAGGTGCTAGGGCCAGGATTCAAAATGTGGGAGGTCATGTGAGTTCCAGACCCTTTACTAGGGCTGACTGGTAGCTGCCTATCTTTACTGAGCTTTGGTTCTCCCAGGAATTTCTCTATGATCTTCTTAAAGAAGCTGCTCTTTCTGCATAAGGTCAGGAGTTAGGAAGCACCCTATGGTCACTAGTTCTTGGCAGGATACCCATTCAGTCTACAAATATTTATTAAGGCCAAGTACTGTGTCAAGGCCAAATAGTATATTAAGGCACTGAGGCTGCAATGGTGAACAAGAACAATCCAGTTCCAGACTTCATGGAACTTTGATAAAACATTTGTCAAGTTCCCCTCTGTTCAAGTGCTGCAGTCAGAGAGGAGGATATAAAGATAACTTCTACATAGCTCGTGCTTTCAAAGGGCTCAAAATTAATTGGAGTATTAAGTGATATTAGAGAGTAAATGGGGCAAATTAAGATCATTCCAAGTCTTAGACTCAAATATTCAACCATTTCTAATACACCTCAACCTCTATGTCTTGCATGCACCTGAAACATAGCATGTTGTATATCAAACTTATCATCCAGCCCCTTCAAATCTGTTCATAATCTGGATAATTCACTCATTCATTCCCTGACCAAATATGAAAGAGTACCATATTATGCCAGATCATTCTAAACCCTTAATACATCAGTTAAAAATAACAAATAAAAGTCCCCACCCTGATAGAGCTCCTTTCTTCTGGAGAAGAAAGATGATAAATGTAATAAATAATAGGAAGGGGGAAAAACAGCAGAAAAAGGGAGACTGGCAGTACCAGGGAAGGAGGGAGGGCCTACTTTTAAATGTAGTGAAAAAGAATGAGGAACTGACAGTTGAACAGAGACACTAAGGAGGTGAAAGAATAAAGTCCTTTCTAAATGTGAATTAAAACCGAAAACAAATGCAAGAAGAACTTGATACATTCAAATGCATTTTTAAAAACCTCAATTACATGGACAATAAATAAATAGAAAAACAAAATGAAACAACAAATATCAGGAAGCTACTTCTGCTGCTGATTGCACTAGAAGTCTGGATGCACACTCCCACTTGAGAACAACTAGAAAAACTCGGCCAAATACCTGAAAAAAATATAAAAACAATCTGTACAAACACATCAGAGACCCCACAAATAAAGTCTCCTGGGCTTTAGGTTTGGGTCCTGAATGGCTAAAACATAGGATTTAAAGTTGAAATACATTTTTCTCCTGGGTGGAGGGGCCCAGACTGCAACATTAGCACATTTAGTTCCCTGAGTCTGTTGAAAGCTTGCCTTCTCTTCTTAGTCTCCCAGGAACGCACAGTAAAACTGGCAAACAATTACCTCTACTTGGGGAAAGACGGCGCTAAATGCAAAAGTTGCTGTACTGGGTTTCCCTTCTTTGGCAGATGCTGGCCCTATGATTATTCTTTCATCCAGAGTTTCTTGTCTAACCATCTTTGATTGTTATACTTCTCTCATTATAACTGATGCTGACAGTCTAAAGCCCTTAGCTTGTCATTTGCTTCTGTAAACTCTCCTCTCCAGTCAGGGGCCATTCCATCCCATCTCACATTAGTCATTGCTGCCATGGCAGTCGAGCACAGCAGCCACTAGGTGTCAGTAGGTAGTTTATCACATTCAACCACAGTGATAGCTTACCTAACTGTGATGTCACTACATCGTGTGGACTACTGGTATCCTACTTCCTATTAGCAAGGTCAAAGACACTACCAAACCAATACAAGAATCCCATATTTAAGAATAGTTTCCTAGGAGCAATCATGATAACAAGTGCTGTAACAGTCAGGGTTCAGTCAGAAAACCAGAAACTATACAAGACATATATAAAGAGAATGTGTTTTCAAAAAGGTGCCAGAGGATTTAAAAAGGAAAAAGGGAACGCTAAGGGAACACAGAGATAATAACTGCAGGACATGGATACCAGCCCTAGAACTAGAGGAAAAAAGTGAAGAGGTCTGAGTTATCCGCTATGCATGTGGAGGAGGGGACTATAGAGTTGGGATCCAGATTTCTAAAGAGGAAGCCCAGCCACGGTGGCACAGAGATAGCGCAATGCTCTGAAATGCTGGAAGCCACATGGAAGACTGGGTGCTGCTCCCAGGTCCACCTGTACATGCTAGGTGCATAGGCCCATAATCCTGGCTGGCTGACAGACTAGGGGCTGGGGAGAATTGTGGTGTGAAACCCTATTGAAGGTACTTCTTTCTCTCTCTCTTAATCTCTTTCATTAAAGAAAGAATTAAATAAAGGAGTGATTCTTGCATTAGAATTGGAGGAGATAGTGGTTAAATTAGTTTCTGAGGATATTACCATATGTTTCTGTCATTTTACGATAAAATAATTACCAAAAAAAAATGAGGGAAAAACAACTAAGATAAAAGGCTATGAGAGCAAAGAGGAGGTAGAGAGTAGACAGGAGGTGGCTGAGGAGAGAAGAAGGAAGTTGGAGGCAGAGTAGGAGCACACAAAACAAATGACAGAATAGAGTAGTGGGCATGGAGAAGAAGGGAAGGGGAAAGACACACAAGGGAGAATCAGGAAGTAGAAGGAGGAGAAGGGATCTGGACGTGGGCTCTCACCTAAAGTGGCGGCTGGGAGCCACATTGAGATAGAGGAAGTGGATCTTCTTCAGGTATCTGTCTGTCTTTAGAACAGCTGTCAGCCGGTTACTCAGAAAAGAAGTTTCAGGCAATAAGCCAGAGCTTTTACTCTGGAAGGCCTTCTCTCCATGAACTGCATAGTCAGGTATGGCCCTGTATGCCAAGATATAAGGAAAGGAAAGGCAGAACAAAGAAGTTGGGTACCTGGAGGCAGCCTACCCACTCCTGGTCAGTGAAAGGAAAGCTCGGTGCCTGAAAGGCCTGATGTGGCATTGCCAGAGTCTACCCACCACTTAAACCCAAACAAGGTCACATACTGAGTAAGTACAGTCTAACAACCATATTCACACCCACGTATGCATGAAACCCCACACCCTTTCTGATAAGTGAATCATCATTCAGGATTGATTGTGATTACCATGAAGTCAATGTTACATAATACTGTGTACAAATAATGGGAAAACTTTATTTTCCCAACACATCACCCCATAAGCCTACAGTCCTTAATTTCTAGTCTCTGTCAACCTTCCTAACCTTTGAGATCTGATCTCCTACCTTTGCTCCTCCCCTGCTTTCCAGCCCTGCATGATTTCCATGCATGCCACGCTTTCCTGCTGCTCTTCCCCCAGCATCACTCAACCTGAGGCTTCATGTCCTTTCCTTTCTAGACAAGATCCAATGGTGCAGCCTTCTTTAACCTCAAGTCTCTACCAATATTCTTCTTCTTCTTCTTCTTTTTTTTTTTTTTATGTAAAACATTGCCTCAGGGTATGTGCACTCACTGGAGAGAGACAGAGTGAGAGTGACAGCGAGAATAAGAGCAAGAGAGAGACTGAGAAAGAAATCCCTTCTCCTTCATCTGTCCCTTTTGGGATCCTGGACATACACCTTCCATGTTTCCCAAGCCACTGGGTCTGGGACTCAAACTGCATGGTTGGCTGTGCGCCCCAGCCAGCATGCCACCTGCTGGCCTGCCTGCACTGATATTCTAACCTTTTTACCCTTCTACCATACCAGTCAATAAAATTGGTATGAAAATTAATTATCTAACAACCTGTAAGTTAATCATAATTTTGGTTGAGGTGACCTAAGAGGACAAAAAAAATCTCAGAATGATATAACTTACACATATTCAGTCAAAACATACTAGTGTCATTAACTGACCCAAACTTAGATCAACAAAACAAGTTATTCCAGAGATAACAGTGCAATCCTCTTCTACAGTTCATACCAACAATAAAGTTTATGACCTTGATGTTGGATTGGGGCATCTTGAATGGATTAAAGGATCATTTCCTTAGCAGTTAAAAGTACTATATGATATAGTAGATGCAGGAAAACATGGAACCAGGAGTATTGGCTCTTCTATATATCCTAGTGTCTGATCTCTTTTTGTTCTTTCTTTCTTTTTTTTGGAGAGGTTTTTGCTATAGGGTGTTTGCGCTCACCAGAGAGACAGAGAGACCAAAAGCAAGAAATCACCCCCTGGGGGGATAGCCACGCTGCAATCCCTTCTCTTCCAGTCTCCTCTCAGGATCTTGGGCACGCACGCACACATGCCCAGTGTGAGTTTAAGCCACCAGGTCTGGAACTCAAACCACGGTTGACTACATAGGAGTCCAGCAACATAGCCATTATACCAACTACTAGTCCCCCTAGTGTCTGATCTCAACTGGGGGCTCATTCTGCTCTGACATCTTAGAAATAGTCTTCAAGCAGCTACCTCTTTCATTTCCCTCAAGCTGCTAAACTGAACCCCATCCCCAGCCTTTTCAAGGCCCCCAGTCCCATTCCATTCTCTGCCTCCTCCCTGCCAGGAGAAAACCGAGGTCCTCAACCACAAAACTAATTTCTCTAATTTCAGTTGCCTTCTCACCCATAAAGGAAGTAGTATCCCATTTTCTTTGCAATGCTAATTCCTCCATTTGTGCCCTAGATTCCTTATCCCCTCTCTGTGATGTATTTTTAATTTCTTCATCTTCTTACCTTAACCTATTTATTCACCCAGTCTACAAATATTTATTAACCATCTACTTCTCAAACAACTGTCTTAAGGGCTAAAAATATTTCTCTATGTTAAAGAAAAAGAATTCCTACCCAGACACCAAAATTCTCTTTAAAAAAAAATTTTTTTTTTAAGTTTATTTTAGGGACCAGCAGTTAGTGTAATGGCTATGTCGCTAGACTCCCATGTAGTCGACTGCGGTTCACGTCCTGGACCTGGTGGCTTAAAACTCACGCTGGGTGCATGTGTGTGTGTGCCCAAGATCCCGAGAGGAGAATGGAGGAGAAGGGACTGTGGCATGACCATCCCCCCTGGGGGGTGATTTCTTGCTTTCTATCTCTCTGTCTCTCTCTGTCTGGTGAGCTCACGCGCCCTGTAGCGAAAACCTCTCCAAAAATAATAATAATAATAATAATAAATAAATAAAGTTTACTTTAGAGAGATTTTTGCTATGGGGCACATGAGCCCACCAGAGAGAGACAGAGAGATAGAAAGACAGAAAGTGAGAAATCACTCCTCGGGGGGATAGCCATGTCACAATCCCTTCTCCTCCATTCTCCTCTCGGGATCTTGGGCACACACACACATGCACCCAGCGTGAGTTTTAAGCCACCAGGTCCAGGACGTGAACCGCAGTCGACTACATGGGAGTCCAGCAACATAGCCATTAGGCCATCAGCTGGTCCCCCCAAGTTCCCTGAAGCTGTTGTCTTATTATTTCTCTCCCTTTTAAGCCGAGCTTCATGACAGAATTAAAAAATGATTTCTACAGTACCTCTTCATCTCCCATTCACTCGCAAATGGACTACAATCTGGTTCCTCCCCACAAATGTCTACTGAAACCACACTTACCAACCTTTTCCTTGTTGCTAATTCCAATGAACATTTTTCAGATTCTTCTTACTGGCTTCAGTAGCATTTAACAATATTGGCTGTTCCTTCTTCCTTGAAACTATCCTATTTCACCTCTTAACCTACAAGGTATTTTGCTACCTTATTCTAGGCTGGAACTCCTCTGATGTGCTTTCTCCTAATTGTACACACACATGCACACACAGACTCCAGAGGATCAGTGAGGTGAAAGGCTGTGCTCTTTTATTTTATAGTATTTTTCCCAATTTGTCATTATATTTTAGTAATAGCAATTTATCTATTACATATCTAGCTCCCTAAATAAATTGTTAGACTCTGAGGGAAGGGATTGAGTCCATCTTGTTCCTGTCTTTATCTTTAGCATCTAGAAGTTTCTAGATACATAAGTATCCAATAAGATGCAGGATCTTCAAAAAGCTCGTGGAAATACATATTATAAATTATGTATAAATTTCTATTTTTTTTTTTTTTGCACCAGAGTA